GAAGAAGAGAGAGACGGCAAACTCCCCTTCTTAGATCTTCTCATCATCAGCGAAACGTCTTCGTTCAATTTCGAAATCTATAGGAAACCAACAAACACAAAGAGAGTAATACCAAGCACTTCAAACCATTCCCATCAACACAAAATGGCCGCTTTTCACCACATGGTTCACAGGATGAAAACTCTTCCTCTTAGCGATACAGGCAAATCAAAGGAAATAGCCGGAGTCTACAAAATCTCTTGTCCAGATTGCAATAAAATCTACATTGGTTAGACGAAAAGGACTTTGGAAACAAGGTTTAAGGAACACATCGCAGAGGTAAAAAAGGCTAACAAAGAGATGGATAAAGGGCTTCATTATGAATTTAAATCCAAGGTTGCAGAACATATCGTTAAAAAGGGGCACAATTTGACTAAGGAAAACATTAATATCCTGCGGACTGTATCTTCACCTTGGAAACTAGACGTAGCCGAAAGTCTAGAAATATTTAAACATAATCCATCAACATTGCTTAATAGAGATCAAGGAAACGGATACTCGAGACTCTTTAGCATGCTACCTAAAACAACACATCGTAGCAATTTGACATGTTTTCTGAAAACCGATGGATGCCATCTTGGATTCCAAAATGGTGTCGAATATCGATTTTCGGCATCTACGTGTCGTTCACGTTTCAAAAATACCCATTTGAGATTTTTCCTTTGCCCGTTAATTTTCGTTCAATATAAAATAACAATTTATTACTACATATAATCCGGATGCCATCCCGATTATATTGGCAACCGATATTGTGCGGATACTATCCGGATACTATATGTTGAGGCCTGACGACACGACGCTTCACTGGTCGAATGAGCCCCAAATTGAAGTGAAAGTGTAAAAAACGAAGGAAGCAGTTTTCGAGTCATTCAAGTCATTCAATTCAAGTCTTTGCTTCAAATGAAATGAACTGATGCACTTGACGAACGAAACAAGCAATAGCCAAGTCACGTTTGACAGGAGGAATGTTCATCGTATACTCGATAACAATAAACACAATCACTTACAACAAAATGATATTGCCCGAAATGAAGCGATTCGGCGGAAAGTTCATTTACTTGTCTTTGTTTCGAAAATGCACAACCCTGCTCTTCAGCACACTGCAGCAGGAAAAAAAAAAACAATTTTGCTCTGATATTACATCCCATTGAGTTGACGTCTTCAGTTAAGTTTCTTGTGGATAAAAATACATTAAGTTTTCGCCACAAAGATGGCGCAACGATACAAACTTTTTTATTTCACAAGACAGGTGGGCCCATACATAAATTCAGCAGTCGACTTAATTTTAAATAGCGACCAAAAATACCCATTAGTACCATCCCAATGACGCGTTCATCTAGATAAAATTGATAAATACCAGCTTTTTAGCGATGGGCCCAATCTTAGATCCATAGGCCAACATTAGAACCATTTCCCCTATGACATTAATATATTGTTTGAGTCAAATCCAAATATCTCAATTAGAAATTAAAGTGCATTTGATGTATACTTATATTAAATAATTGATTACATTTTGCGTTGACTTGCGCATTTTTTTGAAAATTCAGTCTGAAAATCTTGCTTTTTTACTAATTTCATTTTATACATATTTTTCAGCACTCCAAATATAATAATATTTATCTGGAAAGGGATTGGGATTAAACACATGATTTTCTGCTCAGTAAGCAAAATCGGTCGCTACAAGGCCACTGAGCTCCTTATTTCAAAAAAATATTACGACCAAATTTCTGTTCAATTTGCTGATACTACGATAAAAACTACTCTTGAGAAGGATTTGTCATAGATTTCCGATCAACATGTATTTCCCAAAACTCAAATGTTATTTCTTTTATGTACCCGTTTCTTCAATCGAATTTCAATAAGCTTTATCTTATTTTAAGAATAAATCCAATCTACACTTAAACTCTATAATGTGAAGAAGCTTGAGATTGAACCCATAATTTTCTGCTCAATAAGCAAAATCGGTCGCCACTGGCCACTGAGCTTCTTATATCACAAAAAAACGATCAATTTCCCGTTCAACTTGCTGTTACTAGATTTTGGTCCCAGTGGCGACCTCACAGACAACGACAACAACTTTTCTTGAAAAGGAATTGATATGAATTTCTGATCAAAACGTCTTAAACAGACGATTTTCTATTCAGTAAGCAAAATTGGCAGCCATCAAGCTTTTTTGAGACGTTATTTGGTAAAATTGAGTTAAATTTAATCAAATAGCTGGAAAGGATCTCATCCAAATGATCTGTAATTAGCCACCATTCACGGTAAAATCAATCTTCTACTTAAAAACATATATATGCATTAAACACAAATTTAACTTTATCCCGTCGTTATTTCTATAAATAATTAAAAAGAAATACTGACCTAAGATTCCGAAAAATCACTTGCAAAAACTTCCACCCTCTCGATGTCAGCATTTAAATTTAGGCATTAATTAAGGAAATAAACACGATTCAATATTTTGAACACCTCTCAAATGGTGTCTTAGATCTTAATTGAGGAGATGAACGCAATTAATCTTTTTTTTTTGTATGGAAAACACGGCTCGAACGAAAACGAGAATACGGGTGAGTAATGTGAGTAATTTTCAATGAAACAATGAATATCCGTTTTGGAGCACGAATAAAAACAGTCCGCAGTTCAATTTGACTACTTTCATTGCCTCAAAGAGGCTGGTTTGTGACCATTAGTTTGCTATTATAATGAAATGATTAGATGTTATGATGATATCTCGCACTTAAAAATCACTAGAATAGATCGTAAAGCATGTGTTTGACACATGAAACCGGTCAATTTCGGTTTTAGAGAGTCCAAGAGAGTGAATATTCACTTATCACAAAGTTACTGATTGCGACTCTCTAAATTCCTCAACACTTGACTCAAACACATTGATTACAAACTCTTCTTGCATCTTATAAGTACAAAACATCATCAAGACATCAAATGGTTTTCTAATTTTCAAAAATGTGTTTTTATAGCAAACGAATGACCGTAGACCTCCACCAAAATAGCTTTAATATAGAGCTTAACGACGTTTTCGGGATATCAACCTATCGATTTGTGGGATACCGTCTGGGTTACCGTTCGTTTATGGTATTGGTTTATTGGGGATGTTAAAGCGAACCATACTTAATTGATTGTCTCTCGGCCCAAAATAGGAGCATAGTCCGATGGCAGATCTCGCAGCCCTATAAATAACGGAATACTAATCTTGATTGTGTGTATCAACTATGTCTCAATTTCAGTAGGCAGACAATGTTCAAGGCCTGGTTTGAGTAACGGTAGTCTAATTAAAGCCTCTTAAAATTGATCATGTCAGAAAAAGCGAGTAGGGCTTTAAAGCCCAATCTTCGCCTTCCTTGGTTTTATTGCGTCCCTACTGGGACTTAATGCCGGATCTCAACTAAGTGTTCTTTGATCACTTTCAAAGTTGTTAGTTGAGAGATTTCTAAGCCAGTACCATTTTTGCATTAGTATAATTGTATAGCAAGTAGAATCATACTATATGCCCAGGGAAGTCTTGATTTTATTCCCGAAAAATTTCTAGACTGGACTGAGAATCGAATCCGGCCACTTCCAGCACGGTGTTGCTTTAAACTGCGGTTTTACCGGCTGAGCTAGGGGTGGCTCCAATCTTCTAGGTTTGAATGTGTTGTGAATAGGGTTCTCTAATTTCGAACAAATTTTCGATATTTGTACATTTTTTTCATAGATTTTGTTGATTTATTTCACATATTATCAGTAAGCTCTCAAATTGACAGCTGAGCTCATACAGAACAATAACCGGGGAGGCATTAAAATGGTTCCAGAAAATTCAACGAAGTTTTGGATTTTGATTCCTTTTTAAATGTAGATTACAAAAATTCCATAAGTTTATTACGCTCGTTTACCAATCTCAATTGATCAATTGATTAGAATGCTGTGAGTGTATAAAACTCGCAGAGTTTTTTTAATAGTGAGTAAATTTAAATTCCAATTGTTTTATGTTTATTTTTCTGCAAAATCTTTACTCATAGTACACAGCAATTCCACTTTCAGTCAGCCGTAAAGCCGTAAATAGCTTTATGACCACAGCTTTCAAGTTCATTGTCCCTTACGCCCAATTTTATTCCAGATCTAGTTGACATTTTTATGCGAGTTGCGGCATTCCTACACCTCAATCACTAGAAATGCCAAGCATTACTCCACACAGCAAAAAAATTATTTTGATATCACGTCAAAGTGGATGCACTACAATCATGTCGAAAATATGGTGTAATATTACTTGCTACAAAGGACAAAATTATCATTAATACAATGCATGAACTGACATTACGCTGCTTTTACTGCATTTGTTTATTTATGTGGTCATAAAAATTACATGAAATTTTCGACATGATTGTAGTGCATCCACTTTGATGTGATATCAAAATTATTTTTTTGCTGTGCACCCGGTCGGAGAGAATGGAAAATGTCAGAACAAATGTTGCGAAGCATCAAGAATCGTTCCTATCCGGTTCTGGTGGTTGTTGCTTTTGGTGCCAAACGATACCGCAAAAGTGGTGTAGCATGTCGTCCAGTTGTGGAGTTCTTTGTATGATCTCATTGTAGGCAAAATTTGAGAAGCATATTATGCGACTAGCCGCCAAGAATAGCCTGAATCAACTTTATACGTTTGGATTTTTTTCCCGATATTCTTAAGTTACCTCCCGAGCCGTGATTGAAGCTTCTGAGCGTTGGTAAGATGTAAGTAAGCCCCAACGCAAGAGGAAGAAGGCTGCAAGTGGCAAAAGCAGGAGAACATGTGTGTGCGACGAGGTGACGCGAAACTTCGGCTGCCGCTCACCCGCACTCTCGACCAGGTACGTACTCGGTGTTGCGTTCGGGTGGGCAGGGAGTCCTCCCCGGTTGTTGCTGCTGCTACTGCTTCGTTCCAAGTCCGGATCATTCGGATCGTTCTGTTTTGAGTGTGATATAAAAGCGTCGTCGGGTCGATGAGGAGGTACAGTCAAATCATATACCTTCAAACAATCAACAACAACTGTTCGACACAGACCTTTGCGAAACAATCTTTCAAAATGTTCAAATTGGTAATTATCCTTAATAAGAGATTTCGTTATTTCAGCTCTAGCATAGCATCTATAGTTACGCTCGAATGATGACGATGGAGGGCAGCATTCCACGGTGACTAATCTATGTGATTTATTTTCTGTTTTCGTGCGTGTGTCCTAATCCAGGTGGTGTTGTCTGCTGTTCTTGCCGTTGCTGCTGCTGCCCCAAGTGCAACCTTGGTCGCTTCGCCTTTGGCATACACGTCTGTGGTGCATCAGCCTACCCTCGTCGCTCAGAAGGAGATTTCCTACCAGAAGAGCATCATTGAGGAGCCAACCGTTGCCCACGTCGGAACCGTTGTCAAGAACGTCCCAAGTGGTGTCACCCACCACAGCTCGTCGGTTGTTCACCACGATGCCAAGATCTCGGAGCCAGTCTTTGCCACAGCTGTGAAGAAGACCGTCGTCGCTACTCCAGTTGAGAAGACCGTTTACCACCAGGCCTACGCTGCTGCTCCAGCCATCGCCTACGCTGCCCCAGCCGTCAAGACTCACTACGTCCAGGCTGCCCCAGCCATCCAGACCCAGTACGTCGAAGCTGCCCCAGCCATCAAGACTCACTACTACGAGGCTGCCCCAGCTTTGACCTACGCCGCTGCCCCAGCTTTCACCTATGCCGCTGCTCCATTGACCAAGACTCACTACGTTGAAGCTGCCCCGGCCCTGACCTACGCCAGCTACCAGCCAGCCCTGACCTATGCTCATGCCCCAGCCGTGTATGCCAAACACTAATGTCTAGCAGTTGAAGGATGACTGTCGGATTATTTTTCTCTTGTTCACGCTTTGGTTGTTTCTAGTGAAAGATCGGAAAGGTAATGCCTGAGCGAGAGAATAAATCGTTCGGTAGTGATATTTTGTAAAAGTTTGTTTTATTTGATTTTCAAAAACGTTCGAAATTCCTCCGATGATGGTCTGTTTAGACGGGGGGTCTCCTCTTGTAGCGTATTTTTCTATAGCTAATACATGGCCAAATGAAACCTCTCACCCTCCCTCTAAAATTCTACATCATTTATGTTGGACTAGAAACTTTCGCCTGCTCTCAACTAAGATCTCTTAAAGCATTTCCGTAGTTGTACATTTAAATTTTCTGTCTTCTTTTCTTGGCTTTTTACGTTTCTTTTGCTACAGTTTTGCCGGCTTTCAAGTTAGTGTTCTTGATGCACTTTCACAGCTTTTAATTGACAGCTTTCCATGCCAATCAATGCATGAATTTGTAGATTGTGTTTCAAGCACACTCGAGGAAAATTTCCACAACTGGACCGGGAATCGAGCCCACCATCTCCGGCTTGGTAATATCGTTCCTTTTCCGGCTAGGCTATCCGAGGGCCAGATGAGAGTTTTATATGCTTGTGCCATTTTCGCATGCGTATAATGTATGACATGTAATGATAATCTATCCTCAGGGAAGCGAAAAATTAATTATTCCGACACCTTTTTTAGATCGAACTTCCATCATGATCTTGCCTTATAGTTGCGCCTTTAGATACTGAGTTTAGGGTGGACCATTATTTCTCTGGTGTACTATAAATCCCGAACAGTAACCCATTAATGAATGCGCAAAAAGGAGTTATAAGCCAAGTCCATAAATCGAAAAAAAAATATATATATATATTGCAATACCGCAGGGCAACTATGGAAACGTATATAATACAAAGCTTTCCCGATTTTGTCAGCTCCCTAATTTGCCTAGCCCCGATTTTGTCTAACCCCGATTCTGTCAGCGTTTTTCCCGATTTTGTCAGCCTGCAGATTTCACTAAATTTTTGAGATTATAAATATGGATTCTCAAACTCCACGCTATGAATAATTATTATTCTTACACTTCGCTGTAATGTGAAGCGGGGGTAAAATGTGCATACGTTTTGATAAAGTTTTGATTGACTTACAATTTTCAAGAGATTTCATCAACGCAAATTCTCGAATTCAATAGAGATAAAAAACTACAAGGGACAGCCGTATGGGGTTGTACGCAATGGTGACGTAGGACTACGTGGTCTTATATAATAAATCTTAATTGTTAGCTGCAGCAGGAGCTTGTGTGTTGTGTAGGAATAGGAATTTGAGTGTTTATTCTCTGTTTGTACTCATTAGTATGACGCGCTTGACATAGATGGCCCACAGCGATTCACGAAGAGCTACTGATTCCAATCAATAGCTGTGCGGCTTCTTCCTCCTTCTATGGATGGTCACATGGGCTGCAGCTCGCTGCTTGCAGGCAGCCTTTCGTTGTGTACTGGAGAACACCACCACTCACAATCTAGGTTAGGGAAATCGTTTTTCGCATGCAATCGGTGATTATTTCAACTTTCATAGCAACAGTTGCACATTCGTCCAATTTTCAATTGTGACATTTTCAAATAATGTCTTAATATTAACATATTTGTAGAAACAATTCCTATCCACTTAGAATTAAACCATCATCTCTGGATCAAAATCAGACCACTTTCATGCCGCGACCGACTTTGGTTTTTGAAATTGCACCTTAATTAATTGTTGTCCTAATGTACATTTGATGTTAGATTTAAACATATCTAGATAGAGCTGGAATTAGGCGTAACAGCGTTTGTAAACAATGGCTTCTCTCGATGATTTTTAGGAATTCAAAGCACGCCCACGCAAACCAACATTACCGTCAGGTAGAGGAAGTCTTACCCTACCTGATGACCTTGACCACTACACACGGTTATTGGAACTGAATCTGATCAACGGTTGAGGCCAGCCTTGATAGCTAGCTGCTTGGGGGGAGCCTTTCCTAATAAAATTTGTATGGTTATTTTGCTTAACGACGTGTTTGCGCTATCATCCAAACCATTTGTGGAGTAGTTCAATCATTTGGGTTATCATTCTGGTATGGTAATTGTTTTATTGGGGTTTAGTTTTGTACTGGAGAGCACCACCGCACACCACACGGTGGTTGAATAAATATCATTTGGTGAGACAAGATGGAATTCAACTTCGCTTTTTGCAGGCAATCGGTGATAATTTTAACTATCATAGCAACAATTGTATATTCATGCAATTTTCAATAGTGACATTTTGAAAATGCTGAAGTCTTAACAAATGCGTAGGAATATTTCTGATCGATTGGTGAAAAAATTATTGAAATTGGTCAAGGGGCAGCTGAGTTATTAACGTTCAAAATCTTTCATAATTTTGTTACATGTTCCATTTTCGGTTTTCACAAAGTGTGTGTGTGTGTGTGTGTATTCAATCTAACCCCCACTGGCCGGCAGTGTTATTATGGAATAACTCTCTCTACAATGTCGCATTTATGGTCATTGTAGACAGCTTTAGTCCGGGAGTTAGAAGGTGATAGCTCTATTGCAGATCCAGCAACCCATTTCAGAATGTCTGGAGAGTCACGCCCATTCCGAGGTTACTTTCACTTACAATAAGCCCCGCATGTATGCATCACCGTTATCAAATGGATATTGGTATGACATACACGCTTCCAGGTTCGAACATATTCTTTTCAAACCAGGCACGTATATAGTTTATGTTTTTTTTTTTTTAATTATAAAATGTATTTTGAGAGGTCTCACCATGTTCATTTGATCCTCCAATCCATGCGTTCCGTAGTTTTGATTTTCTCTAACCTTTGCAGCTCATTTCGTGATGTACCTTTATCATAATACTTCCTTCAACGAACACAAATTTTCTTGCATTGCCATGGTCATCTGGGAGATGGTTCGCGGCCACCAGCTACCACCCGTCCAGTCTTGGGCGTATCCAGCGAGGCATCTTTCATATTGCTCGCAATCTCCGGAACCGGCGAGAGACCAGCAGCCGAGCACTTTTGCAAGTGGAAAAGTTGCTGATTCACGGCTGAATCACGACCAAAACTCGCGACGGACACATTATCATTTTCGGTTTTCACAAAATGTACCCCCATATAGAAATTACAGACGTAGTCCTTCGTCAAAACATCGTCAATTTAAAGGGACAATGCTCAAACCAAATCAGTTTTTGTTTTGGATTGTCGGAGAGGCAGTTTGGATTCCGGAAAGGGAGATCAACGGTGGATGCAATTCGGACAATGGTCGAGAGAGCCGAGAAGGCGTCCAAACAGAAGCGAATAGGAAATCTATATTGCACTGTGATAACGATCGACGTCAAGAATGCGTTCAACAGCGCAGCTGAAAAACCATTGCCAAAGCGCTGCATAGAATGAGGGTCCCTGACTACCTGTGCAGCATTCTGAGGAGTTAATTCCAGAGCGTGGTTCTGGTCTACGAAACAGGTATAGGATAGAGATCGATTAGGATCACAATGGGCGTTCCACAAGGCTCCATCCTTGGTCCAACGCACGCCTTTGCCTTGAAGCGCATGTTCAAATACCTGGGAGTAGTATTGGGATGATCGATGACCGGCTAAACTTCAACAGCCACGTCGAATATGTCTATGAGAATGCTGGGAAGGCCATCACACAATAGCTAGAATCATGCTGAAAAACTCTATTACTAGCAATATCAAGAGGCGTATTCTGGTTAGATACTAAGGTATGGAGATCCAGCTCGGTGTGCAGCAATGGAAATGAAGTAGAACCAAAGGAAACTGAGCAGTACGGCTCATGGCCATGCGAGTCGTGAGTGCGTACAGAACCATCTCATCGGAAGCAGTATGCGGTATCGCCGGAATGATCCCTATCGGCATCACCCGGCGGAGGACAGTGAGTGCTACTGTCATATAGAAGCTGGTAGAGTACGGAAAGTGGTGAAAGCGGAGTCTTTGGCAAAGTGGCAATAGAAGTGGAACACGGTGGATAATTATAGATGGACACATCGGTTATTACCAATTCTGAACGTGAACAGAAAACACGGGGAAGTAAACCACCACCGGACGTAGTTCCAGTCTGGCCATGGCTGCCTCAGTTAATACCTGCATCGGTTCGGACACGCAGCGTCACCCCTCTGTCCGGAGTGTGGCAACGTGGATGAAACGTCGGAGCATGTGGTCTTCGACTGTCCAAGTTGCGAGACAGTGCGAAGGGAGATGCCTGTCCTTAACGTGGAGAATGTCGTCGATGAAATGTCTCCAGAGGAAGGAACTTGGAATGGAGAGAGGAGCAGCGATCTAGCAACGCCAGCTAGCACTGAGAGTATGAGAAGTGTCAGCCCCCTTGAAGTAGTCACTTCAGCGTGGTCCCGGAGGGATTCAGGCAGAGGAAATAGTAAGGAATGGGCTTTAGAGGAGTTACACTAGGCACACCCCGTGCCAACTTCAATACAGGTCTGGCTTTTTGAACCCCCCCCCCCCCATTTTATCTGCTTTGAAAGTTGATACATATTTCATTACCGTCAAAGGGAATTGCTTCAATAATTCTAATTATTTGATGGTTTAGAAGAGTTTGTACAAATAATAGCCATATGTAGAACAAGGTGGGGTAAAACAAACCCTGGCGTTATATGATCAACACACTGTTTTTTTTCCACTTTAGGCAGAAGTGAAAATTATTTATTGTTATTTTATTCATAATATCAGTGACTCACATAGAGTAAACATCTATTTCCTTTAAGATGCGCCAGGTTTCAAGACATTTGGATGAGAACCTTTTGAGTTATCTTTCCCGCCAATTTGGAAAACACCGTTTCAAGAAAAACGCGTTGAAAGTTTTGGGTTGTGTAAAAACATGATTTCTGGAACTTACAGTTAATCGACGATACCGGGGCCATAGATAACGTCTTCCTCGTGCTTGCAGCATTTTTTTTAAAATGTTTAAAGTAAAATATAAAAAATCGATAAAGTTTTTTTTTACTTGTATTTCCCCCCTTAAGCCGTGGTAGACTACCTCTTTCGACCATTTCACCACTCTACCGTTCAGGCAGACCTTATTATTCACCGTCGGAACAAGTCTGGGAGATTTAGAGTGTGGAAATATGATACCCTGGGTCTTTGCCACGTTGATACGGATCTTCCAGCTATTGAAAACGAACAAACAAAGACAACGATCCACCATCAGGGAGAGCTGGCATAGGTGAACAGGTTGAATAGAATGGGGCCAAGGATGCTTCCTTGTGGAACCTTAGCACCGATGTTGAAAGCATCCGATGTGATGCCATTCAGAGAGACTCGGAACGTCCTGTCTGATAGATAGTTGTTTATGATCTTCACTAGGAAGATTGGAATACCATAGTGCTGCAATTTGAACACCAGGCCATCATGCCAGACATTGTCGAACGCTTTTTCAACGTCCAACAACGTCATGGCAGATGTTTTCGAAACAGACTTGTTCCGTCTGAGAATGTAGAATGAACGACCTTTCCGAAAACCAAACTGTTGTTTTCTTTGGAAGATTGAGGAGCCGGTGGTAGACTGATCTTTCTAACAGTTTTGATAACCCTGAGAGAAGGCTGATTGGACAATAACTTGAAGGAGAAGACGGATCTTTCCCAGGTTTCCGGATGGGTATGACTTTAGGTGACTTCCAGCACGAAGGGAAGTAGCCAAGTCGGAGGCACAGATTAAAAATCAGTGCCCGATGGTTGTAGTACATTCAGTATGTTGTCGAAACCTGGGACCTTCATATTATTAGATGATTTGATATAGGCCAACAGTTCGTCAGCCGTAATCTCGGATTCCTCGGAAAAAAAAAATATTGGGAATCTTTTCAGCAACCTCAGCTTCGTGAGGGCTGACGATGTCTGGATACTAGCACGTGTTGTTCTTTGGCCCGGGATATCGCCTCCTCGATGGAATGCAGACACCGGTCAACGTCTTAGGGCGTCTCCGGAAGGCCACCGCAGTCGACAGTGGAGTCGACACAGTGTTGGAACTGGTCCCAGCTGACGCGATGGTAGTTGCGTCGGGAAGCTTGGAATCGGTTGACGGATGAGTCAACATCGGCCACCACCGGATAGTGGTCCGAACTCAGCTCTTGGTGGGTCACAGGTTGCGATATGTTGTCTCCCATGTTGCTGACACACCCACCGCTTCGATCATCTTCAGCTGGAAACTCGGTAGCAGTCGACTGCCAATATTTCTCCTTAATTCGAAAGCCACTTCTCCTCCGCAGGAGCTGGTCCGGTCTAGCCTTACGAGCCGAAAATCGGGGAGGTGAACATTTATCTCCGGCTTCAGGTGTGTTTCGGTGATGACGGCGATGTCTATGCTATGTTCATTGAGGAAATCAACGAACTCCACATGTAAACTAGCATCGCCTAGTGAGACAATTTTGAACTTCTGTCCACCAATCATATGGATTTGAGCCCCCTGAACCACTTTACTGAAGACAGTAACTTCCTGCGTGGTCTGCATCTTGATTTATTACTAATACTATAACTTCACATGTACACTAGCGCCGCTTAGTGAGACATTTCTTAACTGCTGTTCACCAACCAAATGGACTTGGTCCTCTGAACAATTTATCTCCATACAGAAACTTCTTAGATGGTCAGGATTACGAGATATTAATTAAAGTATCATGTAAATTCATGTTTTACAAGAAGCAAGCTTGATAATCTAATTAACTATAAGCATGGGATGTTCTTCCCCATAGATCACGATGTGATGATTATTTTTAGCGGGCTTCTACTAACCGTATATGGTGCAGTTCAAATATTTCTCTGATAGCAGCGTCAATAATTAAGAATCGGCCCTACTTTTTTAACTGCAATATCAATAAATTACTCTCCAGTAGGTTAAGGTGATACATTCCAGCGTTCACAAATATTCTGCAGAATGGCTGATTGGCATTGCCACTTCGAATTTTCTAGGGAGTAAATGTCGCACATTATTGTGATTTCAGGCATAAACTTTGCCTCTCCATATTTGTATGGGGAAGTAGTCTTGTAAATGTATGTTGCCCAGCAGCTGATAATAATACTTCGAAAAATGCGAAGTGACATCAGAGCAAGGGCTTCCAGTTTATATAACCTTAATCATAAACGATGTCTCACCTTCCCTGACCACAAGACTAAATTTCAACCTCAATATAGCTGCTGTTCGTATTTTCTGGCAATTCCACTTTCGTGTTCAGTTTATTAAAAGATTACCTATTCGTGATCCAAAGATTCGAAACAATCCGTAAGTCCTTCCTGGGGTCTATTAATTGGAAATAAGTACAATCATTCGTGGCCTTAACCTACGAAGCACCACACCACACATGATCTACTTTCACCACCGGCCTGCGAGATGCTCTTTATATTTAACCAACCCCAAGGATGTTCAGTCTTAAATATCGCATCTCTGGCGAACAAGGAAGACAACCGGCCTTTGCTGCTGCTGCTGCTGCTGCTCAATACGACCACGTACGAGGTGGGAAAAAATACAACCAGCCAATCCTGGGGCACGAGAAGTTGTGCTTCGGAACGGGTCCGGAAAACCAACAAAACAATGAACTCTTCTCGAAGACGGCCATGCGGATGCATTTGTGCTGATCGTTTCATAATGTCAAATTAGCTCTCGCAAGCGGGCGAGATGTACAGATAACCTTGGTTGGAGTATATAAATGAAGAACTGGTTCAGTTTTGCTTTGAGTCCAGTGCAGTCGATAAAGAGTGTAACGTCACAAAAAGGATACACCTATCACGAGCTGCCAGATAGCATGATGAAGTTGGTTAGTGTTCTGGTTCTGGAGTCTTAAGAACGTTCTAAATAAAATTAATTATTCTTGTAGGTAATATTTTGCTTAATGGGAGCCATACAACACGTGATTGGACAAACTACCCTGGCCAGTAATCTCACAGCTACCAACAGTGCAGATGATATTTACTCATTGAATGAAGAGGATTTTAAGCTGTGGATATCAGGACAAACTCCCAAAGCGTGGGAGACAAGCACTTATCCGACCAGTACAACAACTAAGAGTACTACCGAAGAAAGCCGCCTGCTAGATCAGTTCAGTTCAGTTGATCAGTCAACGACTTTGGAACCAGAGCTCAGTATCACTACGAAACCAACTCTTGCAACCACACCAAAGTCTGATGAAAGCAGTACTCGACTCGAAGGATATGTATATCCACATCCTGAAAACCTCCAAAATTGGGTTCAGGCTCATATGATGGAATCTCACCAAATCAACAACCAACTGATTTCGAGTGCTAATGCCTTGCCATTCCCTCCCAGATTCGGTGGGTGCATTCCTGATAGTCAAGCTTTCAGTTTCCGTCCCGAAGCAATTTCGTTCCAAACTTCGGCCATAGTTCATCGATTCCACGACAACACAGCCCAGCAGGTTCCTTTTCCGGGTAGCTCTCATCACGGGGATGCGTTTTTAAGTCAGAACCAGCAACAGAAACCACAGCAGCAGGAACAGCAGCAGCAGCAGCAGCAGCAGCAGCAGCAACAGCAACAGCAACAGAAGCAACAGCAACAGCAGCATCAGCAGCAACAGATTCAGCAGCAGCATCAGCAGCAGCAGCAGCAGCATCAGCAGCAGCCGCATCAGCAGCAGCCACATCAGCCGCAGCCGCATCAGCAGCAGCCGCATCAGCAGCAGCCGCATCAGCAGCAGCAGCATCAGCAGCAGCCGCATCAGCAGCAGCCGCATCAGCAGCAGCAGCATCAGCAGCAGCAGCATCAGCAGCAGCAGCATCAGCAGCAGCACCATCAACAGCAGCATCAGCAGCAGCAGCATCAGCAGCAGCACCATCAACAGCAGCATCAGCAGCAGCCGCATCAGCAGCAGCCGCATCAGCAGCAGCCGCATCAGCAGCAGCCGCATCAGCAGCAGCCGCATCAGCAGCAGCCGCATCAGCAGCAGCCGCATCAACAGCAGCCGCATCAACAGCAGCCGCATCAGCAGCAGCACCATCAGCAACAGCACCATCAGCAACAGCACCATCAGAAGCTGCAACAATTACCACGACCCGAACAGCTGCAACAGCTACAGCAGCCACAACCGCCAACACCACAACAAACATCTGCTCCCGTGAAGCTTCATGGTCAGCGAATTACAGAGTTTTATGGTAATCCGCTCTTTTTCCGCCCACCGGTAGCCTATGTACCTGCCCCCGTTGAAGCACCCCCACTGGTGATTAGTTATTATTAGTTTGTTTTTTCGTGTACATTTGTTAGAAGACTGGTTGTGATTAATAAATGACGCTAATGTTGATTGTGTAGCCTTTGCATATTGCTTTTGAGCATGTTACATTCGTTTTGCATAACAATCAAGGATATGAAACCATGATCGGTGAAATTTGGATCTAGTGGTATGATGTTTTACCTTGCATATTTTTTTACTGAAAAGGCCATCTATTTTGCTCCAATATAATCTCACAAGTAATTTTGATTAGAAAAGACGTTTTTGTCAGGGCTCTGCACAGGCATGGAAAATCATTTATATTAATTTTGTGAAATCAACGGCGCCGGTGGTGTAGTGGTAAGCGTGATTACCTCTCACCCCAGCAGGCCTGGGTTCAATCCCAGTCGGCGCCACCGGGATGTTCTGAGGCATAACATCTCTGATCACGCCTTCCTTCGGATGGGAAGTAAAGCCGTTGGTCCCCGGTTCATGAGTTGATGGGTCGATAGGTAGGGTCCAGGTGTGGGAGCTGCCTTCCTGGCACGTCGGTAGCATTGGTGCTCAGCACGGAAAACAAGATCGACGGAAAAAACAAAGTGAAATTATTTGCCTCTAACACTTTTTTCATCAACAGAATTCCGTAAAATGATGTACAAAGCATTTACAAGTTTTGATATTAGCTAAAACTTTTGTAAATATCTAAAACCCGAATTTATTGCAACGCACATGCTGTAACTTTTTAACCACGGTAACAAATGACTTGAAATTTTCAGATAAGATTCTTCGACGAATTTTTAGTAAGGCAACAATAGACTAAAGTTAAATGGCAAACTTATATACACTTTTCAATTAGGGAATCCAAAAGCTGTTTTTAAACTTTATACAGTTGCGAAAAAGTCCATCCTTAGAAGTCCTCTGGGATTATTTTTAGAACTCTTCTTGACTTTTACTCAGAACACCTTGGAACTGAAATTCCCTTAGAGTTTCAGACAAATTTCCTCAAAAAAATTATTCCCGGAATGAGCTAGAAATTACCGGTACTCCCATGAAATCTTCCTCAAAATCCCTTTGGAATTACACTGAAAATTTAATTTTCTCTGTATTCTTTTCGGAATTATCTTCGAACTATCTGCAGGATTCACTAGAAATTAAACGCAGAATTTTCTTGGAATACTTCCCAGAAATCCATTTGGAACTATCATTAGAATTTAATATCCTTGAGGTTCTTCTCGGATTTTTTAGAACTCTCATTAGAGCTCTTTTGAAATTCTGCTATGAAGTTCACTGGAATTACATTTGGAACTCTTCAGGATTTTTTTCTCAGAACACCTTGGAACTGAAATTCCTTTAGAGTATCAGAAATTTTTCCCGGAATGAGCTAGAAATTATCCTCGGAATTTGCTTGAAATTTTGCTTAAAATCCCTTAAAAATTACACTCAAAATTGAATTTTCTCGGTATTCTTTTCGAAATTGTCTTGGAACTACTGCAAAATGCACTTAAAATTATCTGCAGTATTTTTTTGAATTCTCCTCAGAAATATTTTAGAACTGTCATAAGAATTCAATATCCTTCAGGTTCTTCTCGGAATATTTTAGAACTTTTTTTTTTCTCAGAACACCTTGGAACTGAAATTCCCCTAAAGTTTTAGAAGAATTTCCTCTGCATTCTCCAAAAATTCTTCCCAGAATGAGCTTGAAATTATCCTCAGAATTCCTTTGAAATTTTTCTCAACATCCCTTTGGAATTTCATTCAAAATTTTCGAAATTATCTTGGAACTATCTGCAGAAATCTAGGAACTATCCCCAGAAATCTTTTCTTTTAGAACTGTCCTCAGAATTCAATGCCCTTGAGGTTCTTCTCGGAAGTCAAGTTTAAGTTGTCCGTCCATTCACCAAAACGTTGTAGTTTTTTTTTACCAAAAATGTTCAATAAAACTTGCCTCTTCATGCAGCAGATTGTTGCAAATCTTACACCAGAAATTTTAAATACAAACTTACCTCCAGAAAATTTTACACCTGAAAATTTCAATTGATCAGAACCATGCAAATTTTTCACCGTTAGTGTTCTATAAAAATTGCTTCTCCAATCTTCTGATTGGTGCAGATTTGCTTTTTCCATTTTCCACCAGAAATTTTCAATATTGAAGCAAGCAATCATTGAAGCAAGAAGCATCATCAGAATGTTTGCAGGTTTTCCACCAAATAAAGCTTGCCCTTATTTTTCATCATAAATTGTCAGTAATGCAGCTTCCCTCCAATCATCAGAATGGTGCACATTTTACACCAGAAATTGTTATTAAAGCTTGTTTCTCTATTTAGCAGAAGGATGCAAATTTAAGACCAAAATTTCAATACAGATCAATTTTAAATAAAGCTTGTGCCTTCATTTACCAGACCAGTGCAATTTTCCCGCCAGAAATTTTCCGTTCATTTAATTTATCAGAGCGATGCAAATTTTGCACCAGAAATTTTCAATAAAGTATGCTCCTCCATTCACCAGAACGGTGCACCAATTATTGTCAGTGATGTTTGTTTCACCATGTACCTTTGTTGTTCAATTTTCAGGTTTTGCCTCTTCATGCACCAGAATGCTGCAAATTTTCCACCATAAATTTTTAATGAAGCTTGCATTCATCAGAACGATGTAAATTATGCACCAGAAAAATGAATAAACCTTGCTTCTACATGCACCATAGCGTAGCAAACTTTCCACCAGAGATTTTCAGTAAAATGTGCACCTCCAAATTTTTACCGTGATTCAGATGATATTTTTACATCAGAAATATTCAATTAAAAGCTTTTTCTTCGACTTACCATCACGAAGTTGAATTTTTTCAACCTTAAACTTACCCTCTTTTTTTAACCCTCCATGAAACAGCTTGAATTTTTTGTATGCACCGCAACACAGTGGTGTAATTTTTTGACCAAAAAATTGAATTGAAGTTTGTCCCTTCATGCACCTTTGTGGTGCAATTTTATGGCACCATCTCAAAGGAAATGACATAATAAAAGGTTTTCAGTGCCCTGATTTTTTTAAATTAAGTTATTGTACCTTCAAATAAATTTATCAAGAAATCAAGTTATTTTATATCGTAATTTTGTAAATGTGATAATTAAAATCTTATTTATAAAAGGGGGGAGGGGCAATTACCCCACCCTGTGCACACCAGTGTCTGTAGGTACGGTCCCGGTATAAGAAGAAATGAGCAGCAAAACAAGAAGGCAAAATCAGTTGAATAATCCAGACCCTGCTGCCCTCCTAACTAACATAAACTTGACAAAACTCAATGTTACCGTGACAGCTGTTGATGTACAGAGTTGAATTCGGTTTCTTGTTACATCGGATGTTGTGTTAACAATCCTTGCCACAAGGACGTGCTGTTATTGACCATACAAATTAATGAACCTATGAAGGATATGTACGCAAGCCCCTTTTATTTGGATCCCCTAGGTAAACATGTCAATATTTGGTATACAAATGAAACTATAATGTTCAGAATCGAAACCGATAACTGTAGATTCAAGTAATGAAGGATAATCTAAACAAATCTTGAACAAGAAAACATTAGATTGATGCGTCATTTACCGTGGAACTGCTGGAAATTCTTGAATATAAAGGAAGACATCTCAAAACTCAGGGTGCCCCTATTCGAACATTTGTGAATTTGTCAAGTAGCATTACTAATACAGTGCTTCACCAATCATCACTGCATTACCGATGAAAAATACATTTTGACATTTCACTCCACGGGTTAATTGTGGACTGGCTTCCCCTAATTAAAGCCCAGTGTACACTTCTGGGACACACCCTGCTGTCGATACGTCAACTTCATTTGCATTTTATCGTCAAACTTGTTCTTGAGAACGAAATTCAAAGAGCTGAAACTTAATTACACGTCAGTAAAAAAAAGTACTCGCCCAACCAGTATTGCTGTCCACAGTAAAACCACTAGATCAAACTTAATTTTCTGGTTCACTTTTATTCGCAGCAATCACAATCAATCTTCTCATCTTTCATCAACAATCATAAAATGAACAAAAGAATCTCGACCGCCCCTGTCCGTCTATCGACGTGGGACCGTATTGCTGCAAACGTTTTGAACACACTGCTCTGTAACCACCTCACCCATCGGTACCACAACAACATCGGTCAGTTAGCAGTTACACACATGGCGCATTTCCGTTTGAGTATGTAATCAGCTGAAGATATCACGGCTTAAATACTATAGAATGAATTTTCCACGCAGCATCCTGAGAATGTATCCTGGTCCCATCTTCTAATGATGGTAATGGCCATAGTGCAGAGCTGGAGCGTAGGCATAAGCTGGAACCGCGTGGTACGAGGTTTTGACTATTGGTGTCGAAACCAGGGTGTGCTTAACGGCCGGTGCGAAGATCGGTTCGGAATACTTGGCCGAACTGTGCACAACGGTGGAGCTCTGATGCGAGACGGCAGTCGGAATGTGCTTCACGACGGTTCCAACGTGAGCCACCGTGGGTTCCTCGATGATACTCTTCTGGTAGTGGATTTCCGGCTTGGCAATCAGAGCCGGTGCGGCATGGTACACGAACGGAGCAGCATGGTAACTGTACGGTGCCGAATGGTATCCCGGCCGGGCAGCGGCCAGAGCGAAGATCGTCGACAACACCACCTAGAACGAGAATGGAAATTGTTAGAACACGTACAGGTGCAATTAGGACTGGAGACCGTTTACCAATTTGAACATTTTTGAGCAAGTAGGGTTGATTGTTTTCCAAAAGGTCTGTGTTGAAGAACGTTTGGATTGTACTATGATCTTGGTTGAGTCAGCGGGTTTCTTTTATACCCCGGACACTGACTGGTCCCTGTGTGTTAAGTTATTCAAACAGCTACCAGCTAGTAGCGTCAAGCCGATGCCAATGTAATCCAAAGTGCTTTTTCTTACAGAACGGGGGGTTACCTCCACAATGGAGCCACCGAGCGATCTCCGGCAGGTAGGTACGGGTTTGGAGGTTGCACGGCTGGCGTCACACATGCAATAGCACAGTACTAGGGGGTTGCAAGAAAGTGTACTGGCCGGTTGGTACTATATACCATCAAGAACTGTCCAACTGGCTTTGCGGCAGCAGCGAGAGAGTGGATGCAATTGAATGGGGGTGGAACCATAGTGTGTGCAAAGAAAAACTTGGCCCACGGAGAGAGATAGAGAGGGAGGACGAGGCTCTGGCACCCGTTTATCCGTGTTTGCATGCTCGTGAACTGAAAGAGTTGAGGGCTCGTGCTGTGGCGTAAGGTTGTAGGTTCGTGGTGTGTTGTTTTTCTGCCGGCAGTTATTAATATTTTATTGTAGCGATCTTAACGAACCAAATTTGTCACAGGATGTAATGTGAAGAGTTCATGTAATGGTTAATTTTAATTCTTCCATTGGATTTCAGCTTGAGGCAGTTTTAATTTTGACTCCAGGTGGTTCAAATCAGGTTGTTTCTGAAAATTAGCTGTCGGATATTGGACTGAAAATATTAAAAAAAAAAATGCTTCGGTAATTTAAATTTTTGTCAGAAATCTTGATCTAAGAAGTTTCACTTAGAAGGAGTTTCAGACCAAATTTACCGCTTCAAATTCCATGAAACTTCGCAAAATTGTTCGCTAGGGGCAATTAACCAAGTTCGAGTTGCAATTCGGCCATTTTGACTTAGGCCTAATTTAACAAACTAGTGTATTCGATATTTTTCAATATATCATAGCAAGAAAACGGCTCTCGTCTAATTGAAATGACGTCTGAGACAATATTGCCTGAAAAATAGCTCCAAATATGCACTAATACACAGCAAAAAAATAATTTTGATATCACATCAAAGTGGATGCACTACAATCATGTCGAAAATTTCATGTAATTTTATGACCACATAAATAAACAAATGCAGTAAAAGCAGCGTAATGTCAGTTCATGCATTGTATTAATGATAATTTTGTCCTTTTTAGCAAGTAATATTACACCACATTTTCGACATGATTGTAGTGCATCCACTTTGACGTGATATCAAAATTATTTTTTTGCTGTGTAGGATAGGTGTACCAGTTATGGCTATACACAGCAGAATATAAATTTTAATATTACATATTACAAGAGGATGTCGAAAATCTCATGTAATTTTCATGGCAACAAAAATAAACAAATACAGTAAAAGCAGCGTAATGTCATTATTGATGATTAATGATAATTGTGTCCTTTTTGGCAAGTAATATTACACCATATTTTCAACATGATTGAAGTACATCAACCTTGATGTGATATTAAAATTAATTTTTAGCTTTGTACGTTCCTATTATTATGTGTTTCATTTGAGGCATATGGGAATCCTTTATGCCATAATTGGAACACATCATAATAGAAACGTATAACAGTGACTGGTACATGTACCCTAGTTGATATTCTACGATTTTGGTCAATTTTGAATTGTCTATTGACGGAAACTTGTGAATTTGTTTCAATGTGTATTTTCATCTCGGAATACAACCCAGATTCTTACAACTTTGTTTCAGACATTTTTTCAATTAGATGAACCGTTTTCGTGCTATGATTTAATGGAACATAACAAATACGCCATTTTGCAAAATTAGGTGTTATAGATTTTTTTCTAAATTAAGTGATTTGACAAGTGTATAGGAAAAATGTTTTTCTTAAAGGCTTGTACATAATGGATTCCATGGAAAAATTAAACAAACCTTGATTGTTTACACGAGAAATAGATGGATGTATAGAATATTATTTTTTGGGTATTTTGTAAAAAACTTGTAAAAGACTTGTTTCTATTGTTCATTCTTAAGTTATGCGTTTGACTATCATTCATTTTAGCAAAGCATAATTTTGTATGAATCACAATCTATACCTTCCCCGAATAACGATACGGATACAATGTAAATTGAAAAAAGTTACATGCAATTGTTTGGTGTCCATTTTATAAACTGAACAGTCATTACCAGGGCGTCACAATATCAGCTTTAATCGACCAAAATGATGCGACGCAGAGACTGCTGGCTTTCTTTTTCTGTTAAAGTCGAACAGCTTCGCAGCATTCTAGAACCTCAGTCGGCGTGCACAAACAAATGTTCAATCGTTTGTCTATCTTTCTCCCGTCGCTCCATTGGTCTCCCTTTCAAGCTTCGGTGAAACGGATGAGCGAAAGAGCGTTCGACTTTGATAGTTTTCTCTTTCATGAAACACATCAACAGAGGTTTCATGACGTATATGACGGAAAATGAAATTACATATATAAAGCATTTCTCACGTGAAAACACTTGAAGATTACACGTAATATGTTTGATTTATCTTCCATCCACATATTTATCTAAAAAAAATTAACGAAAACGGGACATAACGCATTTTAAACAAATTGAAAGAGCGGTGATAGAGTGTTCGTGAAAGGAGATTGAAAGCCATAATGAGGTTTCGTTTAACTAGACAATCGACGTTACTTACATTGAAAGCGATGAGCAAAGCAACGACGAGAAGATCCACAGCCAGCGTTTCCTTCTAAGCGTGCTTCTTTTTCATTATGATTTCTTGCTGATAGTCTAGCTAGGCGTTATAGAAATGAAGCGTTGAACACGTTTGTATGAGAGAAACAAAACTCGAGTTCATTTTAGAGCCCTGGTTATTACCTCTTTTAGTGGATCATGCATTCACATTTAGCCGGTTAAAGCTACAGTTTCGGTGAGTTTTAGTTATGGCCAGCTGTTCGATCGGTATATTTTCGATGGCTGTTATAATAGAAGTGGAGATGAAGAAATGTTTCCTTCTTTTAAACATAACCGTTCCTTCGAGTTGTACTGATTTCGCTATTTTCTAAATAATCCAAATGGATCATTCCAGCTCAAGTGGGTACACCACGTATGGTCGATGTCACTGATTTGAGCCAAACTTGGCCAAAATGCTTATTTTGGAATTCTGAACAAACACTTTTTTTTCTTTTTTTCTCTAAAGTGCCTAGATCTTTCTGGGCTACAACCCTGGATTTTCGAGATTTTTAAAAATTTCAACTTTCAGAAGAGATTACTCCAATAAACTATTCGTGATCTAACACACTAAGATTTTGTTTTCGTGTTCGGTAAATTTTACCGAAATCAGAACAGCTGAACGTTCGGTAAAACTTTGACCTTCATTATTAAGGCAATTGAATTTGAAAATAATTTTAAAACATGTTCAACCTTGTTTGAATGATAAAATTTTGTCATTTTAGTGGAGATTTAGTTATAAAATAGCGGAAAAGCAATTGAATTGAATTGCATAAATTTTACCGAACAGTTCAGCTGTTCAGATTTCGGTAAAAATTACCGAATTCGGCGATAATTTCTAAAAGTGTAGAACGTCAACTTGAAGGGTTTTTAATGTAAATTCTTATATGTGTACAAAAATTTTGTTTTTGTTTTAGTACTAACAGTAAACAAACTGATTACCAGCAGGTATCCAAATTGTCAAAAAATGGCCTATTTTCAGCATGGGCGGGATTTTTTGTTTCTTAATATTTTGGGCTCGAATTTTCACCACACTTTGAAAAACTCTTCTACTTTATCTGTTTCCAAGGGGAAATGATTTGGACAAATAGTTTTTGTAATATGGCCAGATGAGTGAGAGGTAGTTTTGAGCTTTTCTGGTGAAAAATCAATGCTATTTAATATATTTTTATTTTTTCTTGAATTGCTTCACGCTGATGGCACAATCATATTTTTATGTTATTTTTCACATTTTCTTGGCTGGATTCTCATTCTTTGAAATTATAACTACCTCATTTATTTACTTCTGTCCATAATTTAATTGAGGTTCTAAAAGTGAAAAATACGTTCCTAAGGGATACAACCAAAACGTGAAGTACGATGAAATCAGACAGATTGGCAGGTATATAAAATTACAGTTGTGGATGACAGCTGCTACTTGGATAATACCCTTATTTGAGGAATTAATCTCACGAGCAAGAATACCTTTTTCTTATTATAGTTATAAAGAAAAATAAACGTACCTTTATTTTTCATTTTTTGAAAACACACTTTCCATTCATGAACGTAACTGTCATGTTTTTCTTCTACCCATTTGGAGCTACGCATAGGAAACAGTTGCAGACTTATAATTAGTCTCAGTATTAGTATATATTTTTAGGCTTGCAAAAACAAAACAAGTAGTAAGTTGTGTTTGTGCTCAGAAGACAAAATTTGCCTGGGACATAAGAAGAGGTATATTTTCAACATTGGGAGCACTTCAAAAATTATTTAATCTCACTTGGCTGATAGCAAACAGATATTTATGTAAAAGTGAATCGCAAGTATGTAAAATGAGACAATATGGATATCTGCCTGTAATCAGTATGTTTACTGTAAAAACAAAATGTGTTTACACATATAAAAATCTACATTTAAAAGTTGACGTTCTAAGATCACGAATAGCTTATTTGGTTGTGGAGTAATCTCTTCTGAAAGTTGAAATTTTAAAAAATCTCGAAAACCCAGGGTTGTAGCCCAGAAGGATCTGGGCATTTTAGAGCAAAATCATAAAAAGTGTTTGTTCAGAATTCCAAAATAAGCATTTTCTCCAAGTTTGGCTAAAATCGGTGACATGGACCACAACTTTTTTAAATTCTGTACCCACTTGAGCTGGAATGACCCATATATTATTTCAGCATTTCTATCAGCAATATTTTATATCAGAATTTCTATCTATTCATAATTCTTATTGATATTTTTAATCCAATACATATTCTAATTCTTATTCCTTTTCTAGCAATAGCATTAACAAACCTCAATACACAACAAATTTAAATCGCTGAAAATCAGCCAAATTTTGCTGAT